CTCGTATAGAATTATCGTCCGATTGGGGAAAGGCGCGGGGCGGGGCGGGGCGGGGCGGTCCAAATCCAGGCCGCGTTAATTCATGGCGGAAGCCTCCCCGTGCGGGTCAGTACGCTCTCGCGGAGGAAATGACGGACGTAGGTTCGAACACGCCGCCGGCGGGCCGGGTGCGGGCCCGGGAGGAGATCCGCGCGCTCACCCGCAGCGGCACGGGCTCAGATTTGGGTCAATGCTTCATTTTATGTTTCCTGCTACAAGTCGTCGCCGTCTGTCCGTCCGTCTGTCCGCCCGACACGAGGTGGACCCTCGAAATGGCCGATTGCAATATTGATGTCGGGCTGCCTGCCGGCCCGGCCCGCCCCGACCCCATCAACATTAGTAGGACTTCCCTTTTCGGATTGCTCTCTTTCAATTGGCGCGGGGGGTTGGGGTCGGCTGGATTGGCGGCTGCGTCCCGCTCGGCCGTGGCCCGCAGGCGACAGATGGCTCGCACTACTATGCGTCTCGTCGGTGATATAGAGCATGTAGAAATGAGCCACTCCTTTACGATATTTTTAACGTTTTTGTCGTGTCTTGCCCGCAGCCGCAGAACCTGGTGCTGACGGGGGACTTCCCGGACTGCGACGTGAAGCTGTGCGACTTCGGCATCTCCCGGTATCTCGGTGAGGGTGCGGATGTCCGCGAAATCCTGGGGACTCCCGACTACGTGGGTGAGTATATGTCGCGTTGTCGCGGGCGAGGCGTTCTGCTAGTCGCCTTCGCGGTACCCGTTGTTGTTATCAGCCCGACTGACTCGCCACTTTTTCCTCCGACCTTGCAGCGCCCGAGGTGCTCAACTATGAACCCATCAGCCTCGCCACGGACATGTGGTAAGTTCGTCGTCCCGGTCGTCCCGGTCGCCCCCCTCCGCTTTGCACTTGCGGACAGGAGGACAATGAAAGAATATCGAAGGGGAGTCTTTTGTAACCAAAGGGTAGGAGAGTTGGCGTCATAGATGCCAACCTTCACCCAAACATTTTGACATCTCGGAGCTACAGTATCTGGAACTATCTAGAAATGGCCCAGCTGATGCCAACTCTCCTATCCTTTTGATACAGCGTAAAAATCGACTTCGGTACCACAGCTTTCTTTGTTGTTTTCTTGCAATGCCGTCGCTTGGGACTGATGCTCGTGGCTGTTGCAGGTCCGTGGGGGTCCTGCTGTACGTCCTACTGACGGGGTGCTCGCCCTTCGGCGGCGAGACCAAACAAGAGACTTTCTGCAACATCTCGCAGTGCCGTCTGGACTTCCCAGACGACCTGTTCGAGGATGTTAGCGACCACGCCAAAGACTTGATGCGGAAACTTATCGTCAAGGATCCGAAGTGAGTATGCCGACGACCGATTGAGCATGATGACACCCGGTGGTACTGGTGTCCGTGTCCATGAAAGGACCTTCATTTCATTCCTGGCCTTCCCATGGAGTGTAACGGCCGTCGTAAAGTGATAAGGCACGTTAACGACTGATCCCCTTTCTCCTGTTCTAGACACCGACTGAGTGCCAGCGAGTGCCTGCAGCACCACTGGTTCGCCGCCCAGGGGTCCGTCGCGGCCTCGCCCAGCCCACCGGCAGTACGGCGGCACAGCGCGGCCGCCGCGCCCTGCTCATCCCCGAGGCCGCCGCCCCTGCCGGCGACGCCACCCCCATCGGCGGCCGCCGCCTCCCCCGCGGCCTCCCCGCGCACCTCCCCGCCGGCGTCCCCGCGCCGGGTGGCGCCCGCCGACAGCCTGGACTCGCGGCGCCCGCTGCCCGGCCTGGACAGGTCGCAGTCGGCGCACGCGGTGCTGTCCAGGCCGCTGTCCACCGCCGCGGCGAGGCGGCTGGCGCCCGCGGACAGCCTCGACAGCCTGGACAGGCTGCCGGGCGCGCAGTCCACGCCGCGCAGCGGCATCAGCGCCCTGCGGCGGGACACCTTCCTGCGCAACATGGAGAGCATCGCCAAGAGGCTGTCCGTGGCCGGGGACGCGGATGCGGGCGCGGACGCCCCCGAGGAGGACAGCAGCAGCACGCCGAGGGCCGCCCAAGTCAGGTCCACGACCAGGGCGACGGCCATGCAGACCATGCCCGTGCACAGGGCGTTCGAGTTGGCGTCCCTGGGCCACGTCGCGGGCGGCAGAGGACAGCGGGGCTCGGGGCTCGTCGGGCTCGCCGGGCTGGCGACCTCGGCCGTCGACCTGCGCTCGGACATGACCGCCAAGGAGAAGGAGGCCGTCTTCAAGTTCCGCAAGGTGTTCGTCCTGGAGGACGAGGACCTGGACGCGCTCTCGCACCTCCCCATCTCGTCCATGTCGCCGCCGCCCTCCATCAACGGCTCGACGGGCTCCGGCTCGTCCGTGTACTCGGACACGTCCATCAGCGACTCCAACAGCGACACGGTCAGCGAGCTGTCGGTGGACTCGTCCAGCGACCGCTCCTCCATCATCTCGCTGGACCACGACGACCAGTACCCGTGGGACATGGCGTACGCGCGGCTGGGCCTCAGCCCGCTGGGCCGCCTCTACCACCCGGGCTACAACGTGTGGGAGCGCACGCTGCCCGGCGCGCAGCCCCAGCGCCTCTACCCCCGCGAGTGCAAGGGCTCGTTCGCGCGCGCGCTCTCGCGCTTCGCCACCGAGGACCACAACAAGCCCGAGGACAAGGCCCGGGCGGGGCCGGGCCCGAGCGGCGGCCCGAGCGGCGGCAGGCCCATCCTCAACAAGCTGGCCCTCATGCAGACGGCCATGAACAGGGGGAAGCGCTGCGGCCTCGAGCTGATGCGCGAAAAGAACGGCAACCTGGTGGTCATTAGGGAAATTAGGGAAGTGAAGCCCGGTGGGCGGTACGCCAGGTTTAGTGAGGTCAAGTGTGAATCTGTGCAGTCTCGGATTCGTAAACTTCAGGTTCAGGGAGCCAAGTCATAAGTATTGAATTTCTGACTGTCATGAAAGTTTCTTGTGATTTTTACTTA